GGGAATGTCTGGTGACGATAGGGAACTGACTTAGAGATAAGAAATATGGAGTAAGGATACATAAGCCTTTCTTTGGATGGAACAGTGTGAAAGGTAGGGCTCCTGGTGGGGGACTGATTCTCCTGAGGGTCTGGGCTAACTGGGTTAACTGGCCCTTGGCAATCCAAGATGTGACCATCAAGTGCTCTGTGTTCACAAGCCACATGTGCAAATCAGCTTCATTGCCCGTGTAGTCACAGCTCATATATTACCTTGTTGACTTTGTGACGTCTCCCATGACATTGAGAGGTCCTGAAAGGCAGGGGCATGTCTGATATTTCAGCATTCATTACAGTGATTGGCACTTCAGACACATTTTGTGGCTTAAGCAATTGAGAGGAGCGAGTTGTACCTTGAAATTGTCTGGCTTGCCGATGATGCTGAACTCTTCTCTGTGGGGAAATATCAGCCAAAAGCTGTAAGCGGCAGGGAGGCGCAGGAGACTCACGAAACGGTCTGATGTTCACCATGGGCAAGGATAGTTTGAGTAAAGCCTTGAGTGAAAAATAATTCAAATGGCACTTTGTTTTTTATTATAAATTACACAGAGAGTACATATAAATGTATATTGATAATATTGAGGGTGAGAGATTTGAAGCTCTCAGTGTCAGCCCAAGAAAGAATTTTGGGTCACTATAATCCAGTGCTTCTTCACCTATGTTTCATTATGGCTCCCTCCCTTGCCAAGTACTCTTGGAGATATTTTTATCTTTTTAAAAAAATTTTATTTATTTATTCTTGAGATACACAGAGAGAGATAGAGACAGAGACACAGGCAGAGGGAGAAGCAGGCTCCATGCAGGGAGCCCGACGTGGGACTTGATCCCAGGTCTCCAGGATCACGCCCTGGGCTGGAGGCGGCGCTAGACCACTGAGCCACCCGGGCTGCCTGAGATATTTTTATCCTAATTGCACCATCTTCATAAAATTTTCATAGCATGTGTATACTCTGTATCAGTTTATGTACTTTGACCCTTTGGAGGGCCACTAGCCACATTTAAGTTCTTTTCATGTCCCAAGAGCCAAGTTTTGTCTCCTTGGGGATGATCACAGCCCTCATGAGAATGCATGCTGTAGAGGACTCCCTGACAATTACAGACCTTACTATCAAGGTCCCTCTGGCTTCAGGTGGGTTTGACCAATGGAGGGCTTCATAGGAGATGGGAATGGACAGAGGGGCGGGAAGGAGAGTAACATGAGTGTACATATTCTTCTAGCTCCCACCTTGTGAAGTCATCTTGTCTGGCTGTGTCCTGTGGTCACTTGACTCCTTCTAGGTTCTCTGTGTTCTGGTAACAGATTATATACTCCCTTCCCTTGGGAGGGGTTGGTAATAGCTCTACTGTTACTAGCCCCAAGTTACAGCACTATCCCTTGGAGTTCCCTTGTACCTACACATGTAGAAGTTTATCTTATGTTCAGCGTGCTCTCCTATTCCTGTTGGGACCCTGAATGATCGAGGGGAAGGTCTTATCGCTGTACCTCAGGAGAATATCCTGCATCTGGGAGCAGGCCAGCAGAGGGTAGATGAGCAGTGTAGGGTGGGGGGCCAGGTAGGATGCGGCAGGAGGACAAGTAATTACGGCCCTAAAAAAAGAGGCTGAGATTGGCCTTGTTCTGATTTATGGAATGGGGTGAGAGCATGAACTCTCCAGACATGGAAGGTCATTGGGGATCCTCTAGAACTTGAGAGGTAATTTTAAGAAATAGCATGGTTGATCTCCTTTACATAGTTGGGACTTACATAGCACTTTCTCCACCTGATGGTGTAGCATTGGCCTGGATTCACAAAGAAATTACCATACCAAATAGCAGTCCTGCGTGATAGACCTCAAAGAGATCCTTTAAAAAGGTCGAGCTCTTTGGGAACATCCTCACAGTTACGGGATGAGCCCCAGAGGCAGACCTTGTCTCCTTAAATTGCCTTTTGGTGTTTTGTTTTGTTTTGTTGTTTTGTTTGTTTTTTGTTTTTATCAAAGGCAGGTGTGGGTCTGGGAATTGTTTCCAAGGGAAGTACAGGTCTGAGCACATCACTGATCTGGGTTCAGGGAGACGCTGCGCTCCATGTAAGACAGTGGGTAGAGGGGAAGGAGCACAGGCTTTGGGAGGCTAACATCCTGGCTCTTTACCTTCTGGGCCATCGCCCGTTTCAGAGATGCCATGGGGTTTAAACGAGAAAGTGCATGTAAGGGCGGCCTGGCCCTATTCCCAGCCGACTGAGTAGTCTCATGCTCTGAGTCTACCAAGTCTTTTACTGGCTCTGCCCCTGAGAGCAGGGGGCAACCAAGCTTTACATGCTTTGGGCTCCAGAAGCCAGAGAGTGAAAGCAAGAAGCCGTTGTCATGGATGGCGGGCGGGTGGGCACATTATCCTGAGGCCTCCTAATCCCATTTTCTGCTTTCATGTTAATCCTCTTCCTCCTGTCTGCCACACACTCAACTCCCAGGGCACTGACCCAGAGAGCCTGGCTCCACCTCCTCCAGGCGATGGCAATGTTCCCTATTGGGGGTGCTGGAGGTGGGGCGTGGCGACAGACTGGCTTGTGCCTGGTCCTCCCCAGCCCACCTGGATGCTCTTCCAGGATGGGTCACTGATGAACATTGAGGGTTCAGCTCACTCATATAAGGACAGATCAACCAGTATTTCCTAAACACTTACTGTTTGCTGATACTGGCTAAGATCTTTACTTAACAGAATTTCATTCGGTCGCTGCAACACTCCTGTGAAGCAGATATTATTTAGCTGAAATTTGGAGGCTCGAGGAGTTGTCACAGCCCAGATCACACAGAGAGCACATGCAGGACTGGCCAAAATTCCTCCGGAGGCTCTTGGGGGACCAGTGGCAACGTGACCCCCTCTCATATTGCTTCCTACTTCCCGGCCCTAGGAAAGGACCCCCCTCTAGCTTCTGGGTCTGTCACCTGAAGCTTCAGTTGGGTGAACTGCTATTTCTTCGATGCACGAGGCCCCGGGGTAACATTGGCTGTACAGTGGAATGGAAAGAACATTGACTCTGGGGAGGTGTGGTTCTGGCTTCCGCAGGAAGGGGACAGGATGTACCCAGGAACTGAACGTTTTCCAGGGAGACAGGTGGATGCATGGTAAATGGCCATGGGGAGACGGGAGAGGGATGATTTGGCCTCAGGGTTTTTTACTCACTGTCCCCTTCCTTTCAGGGCACTCTGTCACCTCTCCATTCCCAGCTGCGAATGCTCTTTTCTCTGCCAGAACAAGACTAGCCATTTTTGCCCTCAGATATCTAGATTGAGGTAAGGCTCACTTGCCAAGGAAGAAGCAATCCATTACCCCCTCAGCCTTCTGTGCCTGAGTCTTTCTAAAAAAGTTTGATGCACTCTGGCATTTTAGTTTGTCACCCACTCCAAATAGGCAAGGGCTCCCTAAGTCTTATTTTGATTGCTTTTGCTACCATTCTCCCTCTCCTCTGGGTCAGGCTCAGAGATTAGGGTGGGATTTGAATGCTTACTAAATCCCTTAGCAGCTGTCATCTAGGCTTCAGTTTTCAGGTCCATAAAATTGGAATGATAATTGTACGTTGCTGAGGCCAGAGCCTGCCCCTCTCCTCGGGTCACTTCTAGAAACTTCTAGAGCCTGGCAGGCAGTTCTTGGTTCATCTTTGGCTTTCTCTTTTCTTGCTGAGTCACGTGCGTCCTGGTCCCTATGGGCCTATCTGCTGACTGCAGTCAGAGTCTTGCTTTCCCTCTGGGCTGCACAGACCCTGCAGACTTTCCTGCCCCAGCCCTATGACACCTCCTATCCTCAAACCCCATGGGCTGGTTGGCAGCTGGAGAATAGCAGAAGGCAGTGTAAATCTAACACTACTGGATGGCATGGGGCTATACGTGTTGTAGCACGTGAATTCAGCTCAGGAAAAGGGTCTGGAGGCTGAGGTCCTCTGTGCAAGGGTGAGGCTTGGTTGAGTCATGGTATGAGCTGCTGTGGTGGCTCTGACCCTGTTGGTGAGGACTTGGTTGAGTCATGGTATGAGCTGCTGTGGTGGCTCTGACCCTCCCCACAATCAGCAACTCCAGGTTGCCACAGGCAAGGTGTGGCACGTGTGGGGTAGGCATGGTGGTAGTGAGGTGCAAACCTGAGGATCTGAGCAGCATCCATGATTAGGATTCCAGAATGAAGATTGACTCCTCAGTCCCTTAGAACTCCAGGGACATCTTGTACGTGAAAACTTACAACAACCACGTCTGTTGAGGAGAAATCAGATTCTCAGTGAAAGTTTGGTTCTTCTTTTTAAAGCCCTCAAAGGTTTGCATGCTATAAAATATTCTAGAAGCAGAATGGTATACAGGAGAGAAATATAGGATTTCAAGTTAGAAGAATGTGTATCCATGCTGGGTTCTCTCTGGCCTCAGTGTTGATCTTGAACCCTTAGGTCCTCATTTTCCCTCTGGGGTTCCACGCACTTGGGTCTTCCCTTGCTAGACCCTCCCTCTTAAAGCCCAGGAAGAGGGGGCTGGTCTAACAGACCTTCCTTTCTCTCCACCTTCCATATATTTCAAGCTCAGAGAAAGGCTCTGGAAAATAAATTACCCATTGGTCTGTGGTGGGCAGTGGTGACCATGACCAGGCCCACCCCCATATGGGGCAAAGGCAGGTTGCTTGGAGCCTCCCCCCAATGTGGCTGACATCCCACTATTAAGATGCTGGTCCTTTGGGTAAAAGCTCTATAAATAAAAAACTGGCATGTGTTAAAGCATGAATGTCCCCAGGGGAGGAAGTCCTTCGTGTCTTTTGTCCAGACATGGATATGGAGGGTCATGGAGGGAAGTGGGCACCATGGGAGCAGGGCCTGGAAACACATTTTGCCAACTTCAGATTTCACTCCTCTTTTTATTCATGAGATACAGAGAGAGAGGCAGAGACATACGCAGAGGGAGAAGCAGGCTCCCTACAGGGAGCCCAATGCGGGACTCGATCCTGGGACTCCAGGATCACACCCTGAGCCAAAGACAGATGCTCAACCACTGAGCCACCCAGGTGGCCCAGATTTCACTCTTCTCAAGGTCACCACCCATGACCTCCTGCCCTCACTTCCCCAAACAAACACCAAAGACATTAATTGAGGACGTAAGTCAGCCCAAGAAACTGTGGCTTGGGAAGAGTCCTTGCCATGAAACGTCATTTATTAATTGATTGATTTTTTTTTTTTTTTACAAAAATAAACATTTAATGAACAAGAAGTACAAAAGCTTCTGGATATACAAACTCCAGGAGGGGGGAGAGGCTGGTTTTGGCTGCTTTGCGGCTTTCACTGAAAGCAAATGAGGCAGAAAAGGCCCCGGCCCCACCCCCACCCCAGGTCCTGGCTCAAACTGCAACCTGCTCCTTGACCCCATGTCTTGGCTCATACCTTGTGGGCTCCTCTGCACTGGCCTGGGGTGGGGGGCCCAGTTGGGTGGCCAGAGGTGGCCTCCCCGGGTACAGAAACCCCCACATCCCAGGGCATCCCCGTCAAGTCTTCTATCCGGAACTCAGCTGAGAGAACCCTCCATGATCGATTGTCCCCACGCAGCCCCCACCCGATCGTGACATGCAGCAGCAGCAGCAGGGGCTCTGGCTACATTCTCACACTGTGAACACAGTGATGGGGCTGCCCACAGAATTGTCCCAGCAAGGGGCAGACCCCCAGTGGGGACACCAGCCTGAGCCTTGCTGGCAGCCCAGAGGGTTGGAGGGGCAGTCAGCCCCTGCCCCCCACCCCACTGTGATTCCTGGCCCTGGGGCCAGCAGTCCCATACTTAGACCGGTAACTCACATTTTAACATTTGGCATTATTGCACATTGTCCTGGTCACCTCACTGTCTGGGATGTCAGCCTTGTCTTCAGGAGTTTCTGGGTGACATGCGGTGCTGCTGGTACAAGTCACTCCCTCCCTCCACAGACAAGCCCAGCTGGTGGGGCTGGTCCGCTGTCAGTCGAGCCCTCAGACAGGTCAGCCAGAGGCCCTCACGTATGTAGTCTTGTTGGGATCAGGGACCACATGGCTCCATCCTGTCTTGAAAAATACCAGCTGCCGACCTGGAGGTGGAGGTGAGAGGGAACAGGACTAGATCTCTCCCTGGAGGTGGGGCCACTCTCCCTAATGTGACTGCCCCGAGGACACAGATACTTGGCGCTCATCCTCTCAGCCTTCTTATCTTCTCATCAAAGCTGGCTCCTGATGGGGGACCACTATCTGTTAATCTCTTCCAGGGAACTCCAGTCACCTCCCTCAGCATGTCCTTTCCCACCGGCTCACCTGTCCAGGTGGTCTGGTTGGTGACCACAAAGGCCTGGCACTGGGCATGGCTCTCACAGACGTCCACGGCCTCAGCCAGGTTGAACACCGAGAGGAGGCAGCCTCCGTGGTGGTAGGATGGCCAGCAGCGGTAGTCTTCCTGGGGGATGGTGCTGTCTGGGAGGCGCTGGTACTCTGCGTTCGGTGATGGAGTTCAAATGAGAGCTCTGTTTCCAGGCATGAGGGCTGGGGCCACTTTCTGAAAGGGGCTAAGACTCATTTCCTAGCTGAAAGCTGAAATCCAGCCCAGTTGCCCTAGTGTGGAGATGAAGGCAGCTACCACTGTGGACTGGGCTGACCATTCAGTAAAGGCAAAGTTCACACTTAGTTTCTGGGAGACATACAGCTCCCAAATCTAAGGACGCACAGTGTGTTTAGACAGCACGTGACGTGGGCACGTAGTGGGATAAACACACACACAGACTTCAGTGTGCCTGTGAATCTCCAGAGAATCTTGTTAAAATTCAGATCCCGATTTAGAAGGTCTAGGGTGGGGCATGGGAGTGGGCATTTCTAATGAGCCTTGGGTGTTGCTGGTCTGCTGACCACATTTTGATCGGCAAGAGTTTGGAGCACCCCTTGGTCCCACTTCCTCCTGGCCTTAGGGAGAGAGATTAGGCAAGCTCTTAAGGGAGTGGGCAGTTAAGATTTCTGAAGAGGAATGCAAATGAATGTGAAACACAAAAATTACCATTTGGGAATCCACAACTCGAGTGTTTGGAGAGGAGGCTGGAGGAAAAATCTTCCCATTACACAGAAAGAGCCCCCGGATGCTCTGAAAGCTCCTCAATCAGGAAGCTGCTTAGCTGCAGGCCGCCTGTTCACCTGAGTCCTTCCTGCTGCCTGGGGAGCCCCAGACCGGGACTGATAATGCAGAAGCCCTGGGCCTCTGGCCACCCCGCCCTCCTGCCTCCTTCTTCTACCAGGGACTAGACCAAAGTCCAGGGCTGGCTGTGATTTATAGCCCCATAAACGGCGTCCTCAGGGACAGAGCCAGCCATTGTTCACCTCGTTAAACTTTATTTACAGGGCTAACGAGGGCTCCCCCACCCCTAAGACTGGCCAGAGCTCCTTGAATACAGAGGCTGCCCACCCCTGGCCCCCCTGGCAACCATGATAAACCCCAGGGCCTCAGCAGAGGGACTACAGCAGTGGCTAGAATTCTCCCCCTGCTCTCAGGCTTCTTGACTGGTTTCGATGTGGAGGCCCAGGTATGGCCAACCTCCCCTCTAGCCCCGGAAGGGTAGAGGAAGGCAAGAGAAGCAAACATATATCATACTTCAGCTGTGTGATGGGAACCAGGTTAATAGCTTGCACACACTTCACCTGGCATTTAATCCCCATAAGCATTTTTGGGGGCAGATAATACTAAACCCAATTCACAGATGAGAAAAGTGAGGCTTAAGGTGTAGGTAATATGCTCAAAATCATGCAGTCAATACACAGTGGGGTCTGGAGCCCCCAGAGAAGGGGCGTCAGTGCCTCCCCTTCTCCTAAGTCAAGAGAGAATTAGTTATTCTGTCTCAGCCAGAGAGAGGACCTCCAAGTAAAGGCTAAAGAGTCAGTGGTCCTTCAGGAGTGCCTTAGGAGGATGGGCCACTTAGCCCATGAATGGGATCACCCACCCTCCCACCTGTTCCCCACCTCCCCAGCCGCTGAGCTCTGTCAGAGCCACTCACCAGCTCTGCTGCCTGCTGAGGTGTTCCGCAGATACTGCCCACTCCGGTACAGGTGCAGCACTTTCTCCAGCTGGGCCAGAGTCTCATCTACTCCCCAGGCGAGCTCTCCTGCAGAGTGCAGCGTGGCTATGAGAGGGCATGTGGGCTCCTACTCCTCCCCGAGGTAGGCCACCAGCTGCCTCTCCCTCTCTTCCTCTGGAGCCTGTGCCCAGATGACCAGTGGACAGGGAAGGGGGTTTGCCACAGAATGCCACTTTGGGAAATGATGGTTTCTGGATGTGTTGTCCTGGGTCATTCTCGTCCCCATGCCTGCCGGGGGAGGGGCAGGGTGATGAGAAGCAGATGGGCCCTGGAGAGCTCACCTGTGGCGTTAACAATGCTGTCCAGCAGAGGCCGTAGTGAGGGTGGGGCACTGTGGGGCAGGAGGTATGTGAAGAAAAACCTGGGCCAGAGAGAAACCAGGGGCTCAGTGGTACAGCCTTGGGGACATACCCTTCTTCTGCCCTGATTTGGGACAGAACCCTAATCTGGCCAGGGAGCCTGACCCCTACCACCCAGATAGGGATCAGAATCAGGGTAGGGATCTGGGCACATGCTAAGGCCACACCTTAACTGCAGTGTGAGGTCTGTTTTGCCATCCATCCCCAGAACTTCCCCACCACCCAGTCCCACATCATCCCCTGAGCTGATTGCTGTCAGAGCAGCCCCAGAGCCCGGGCCCAGTGAGGAGCTTCCAGAGGTGAAGGACCAGGGGAGGAAGGGGTAGTGCCAGTCCCACCAGCCCTCTGCTCTGAATCTGACACTATTTTAAGAAGCCTCCAGCTGCCACCCCCCAACCCAGATTCTCCCTGGAGCTGACTATTTTTAGCCTCATCATTAGGAGCCTGAATGTTCCCTTCTTGAGTGGGTGGAAGGGTTTCCCCACCCCTGCTGCTTCATTGGTCAAGGCTGAGTCTCCCCACCCTGGCTGGCCTCCTGGACCCCCTGATGGCTCTCCTCTTGCCATGCCCTCCTGGGCCCACTCTCCCTCTCCGGCCTTCCCGGGTTGGGGGTGGAGGTCACCTGTAGGCATTGTAGAGGTTGCGCTTCTCATTCATACCCTCACACCAGCCCTGGGCTGAGCAGGGCAGGGTGAAGTTCCTGGCCGGAAACTCCAGTATGCAGTCTGTGCTGCTTGTACACGGTGTCTCCTCCACACGTGCATCATCCAGATCTGTCACCTTCAGCTCCCCATCCACCAGCACAAACTGTCGGGGGCGGAAGTCCAGCAGAGTGACTGAGCCCAGTGGGGAGTGGGCCAGGTGGTGAAGGAGCCGGCCCAGGCTCAGGCAGATCTGAGGAGCACACACAGGGTTGCTCATATGCTTCTCTCCTGAGAGGGGGTTGGCGGGGGGACTCCAGGGCTTGTCCCTTTGGGGTTCTGGACTTGCCCAGGGGGTGGGGTGAGGGTTGGCTTTCCTCTTAAAGGCCCAGGGGCTTACTAAATGCCTTCCAGAGCAAGCCAGTGATTTTCTATTAACCCTGGGCTAGCCTGACCCTGAAAGTCACATGGAGTCGGAGGAAATAGGCAGCACGGAAGTGTGGGGATCACGAAGCTCCTCCCTGAAGTTGCATCTTGGGTATGGTTTTAGTTCAGTGTGTTGATATAGAGTGAGGGTCAAGATGACCTCAAGGTCTTTTCTAGTCCTGGGACACTGGCCCTCTTGCAGCCAGGCTACGGGCGTGTGTGTGTGTGTGTGTGTGTGTGTGTGTGTGTGTGTGTCTAAGGGGAGCAGGAGCACAAAAAACGTCAGAATCCTCTACATCTTCCTTCTTTTTTTAACCCTTTGGCTGATGGCTGAGTCAGTTTTGCTCCATCGTTCCCTCTTTTTTTTTTTTTTTTTTTTGGACTGAGGAGGAGTCCAAGCTGCTCTGGAGGGCTGGCCTTCTAAGGGAAAACCATGCCAGCAAGGAGCCCAGGGCCCGGCCCTCTCCCCTGCTCCCTGGGCCCTCCTCCCTGCTCACTCGGAATCGGTCCTCCCAGGAAGTCTGCAGCAGCTGGATCATCTCCACAGGGGCGCCCAGCTCTGTGATGGTGGTCAGGGTGTCCGGGATGTCCTCGCTGTCCTGGTAGCAGTAGCCATAGAGCTGGGGGAGGCATGGGGCAGGTCATTAGGTCACAAGGTAGGGGTGGGGACAGGGAAAGGCCGGGCTGTCAGATGCCCCCTCCCTCTGTACTACCGCCCCCTACTCCCCCATCCCGGAGCTGTTGCTTCAGCTCAGGCCAGAAGAGAACAGCAGCATTGCCTGGGAAGCCTAAAGCTCGAGCTCCTGCTGGTGCAATCAGCCTCTTACCTCCTGCTGCTCAGGTAAATGGGCAGGTCTGGACACCACGTGTCAGCCATGTGCCAGGCACTGTGCTAAATGTTTTACATGCGTAACTTGATTCTTACAATAACCTTACACAGACATAGTAGGTACTATTATTAATCTCCAGTTTACAGGTGAGGAACTTAATTCAGAGAAGTTAAGTTACTTGCCTAATGTTGCACAGCTAATAAATGCAGGAGCTTGGATTCAAATTTATGTCACTTGGATTCCACAGTTTGGTTCTTTCTAAGAATACCATTTGTTAATCAACAAGCCAGCAAATGGGTATTACACCTCCTCCCCTGCTCCAGTCTTCTATTTCTTATCATTTTTACTTTCTGGCAACTTCATGGTTTCTCAGCTCTGGTCTTGTGGGAGGAAAAACAAGCTCCCTCAGGACTGGTAACAAGAACAAAATTTCTAAGCGGCACATCCTTGTGGGGGGTAGGGGGAGGTCACACCCAGCGATGGGAGTAGTAGTAAGGAATGGTTTCTGGGGAAGATTGGTTCTCTGGGGGTCTGTCCACTCCATAGCACCTGAGGGTGGGCTTGATACAGCTCAGCTAGTCAGGGACTTCTCGGAAGCACAGCCTGACCTTGTCATTAACACCTAAACCAGTGTCGACAGAGAGCCCCACTTCCCCCAGCCTTTCCCACCACACTGCACATCGGTAGGGGTCAGATGCTGCTCAAAACAACCAGCACCCTGTGGGGTAGGAACACAAAGGCTGAGTTGTCCAGGCCACAGTACAGAGAGGGGAGAGCTGCACAACGTAGGGGCTGGGGGGGAGGTGTTGCGGCACAAGGGGGAGCCAAGCCCATAGGCTAGATGTCCCTGCATACTGTCACCTCTCTTACCATCATTTACACCCCTCCCGGATCCACTCCAGGCTGTCACATGTCCTGTTTCGTCCCAAGAGTGCCCTTCTAGCTCCCCGTTCCCGGAGCCAGCTGCCCCAGCCCTGCTGGCATGAGAGAAGACGCGGCTCGGGGCCACTGGCCACCATTAGATCACTAGAGCTGCGAACTGGGAGACAACGGGACAGTCCTGGGCACCCTCTTCTTTCCCCTTTCTCTGCTCCCCCACCTTGCATCAGCCCAGGGAGGCCCCAGACCCCGGTGGGGCGGGGGTGGGGGGGGAAGGTAAGGGGAGCAGCCCTGGGGCCTGGTTCTCATTTTCTTGCCCAGAGTCTGAGCCTTTGTGGGAAACTTCTGAAGGTTATTAAACACCCGGAGGTCGTTAAATGCGCTGTTAACGAGGTATTAATCAACACCCCTCAGGAAAAAATAAAAAGACACCATTAACCCCCCCAGGAAGCATGAGGCTGAGCATTTCAGTCGCATCTTTTGTTCGTTTGGGAGAAGAAATATACTCTAGCAGGGCCAGAATCTGCGCCCAAGCAGGCCTGGGGCCCCATCTGAGGCCTGAGATCCTGGAACTATGGAGGTAGGGGGGAGGGAAGACCCTTTTGCCCTTTGACCCTGGGCTATAGAGGCATCTATCACGTGAGGACTGTGTGTGTTTGTGTGTGCGTGAGGGGTGATGGAAGAAAGAGAGAGAGATTTCGCCCAGGCAGCCCCCAGACACCGGAGAAAGTGCTGGGAGGTGCACGGTGGGACATACTACCTGGGCATTTTCTATTAGAACCCACAAAACCAACTGTGGGGCTGCCAGAGAGGGTGACTGGACCTCAGGTAGCCTGGGGGAGCCAGAACTCAAAGAAAACATTCTTTGGCTCTTCCACAGTTCAGCAGTCAAATGGTTTTGAAGTTTTAAATGATGAAGAGGTTAAAACATTATTTCTAGTTTCCTGAGTACCCTCACTGAAGCCTCCTGAACAAGAAGACCCCACCCAGAGCAGGCTTCCCTGGCTGCAGAGGTGACAATGCTGAAGAAGCCAGAAAGCACTGACTGGCAGTGGGGGATAAGTTGGGGAAATCACCCCCAAAGCAGTTCCTAAACTCATACTAAGGGACCCTTTCTTCTCTGTGATGGTAACTTGTTACCTTTCCCCAGGTGGAAAGGACCGGGACTCTCCCCACCTTATAACACATGTGTCCTAGGGCAACTACCCCAGTCCCCAACTCTGTAGGAGTCACACAGCAATATTAGTTAGACCCAGTCTTGGTCTAGTGAGGGAATGGGTGAAATCTATTCAGTTGTTTTTACACACACACACACACACACACACACACACATACATATTGTGCCTTCAGACTTGGGCAGGGGGCCTGACAAGAAAGTGGAGGACCATTCTGTGATACGTGTGGGGGCAGTTAACTAGATGGCGGTCAGGAAGCTTGGGTGTGGTAAGTCAGGGAGGGAGAAATTCCTTAGGAGACAGAAAAGCCCATCAAAACCTCAACCTGTCCTAAGGGGGGGGGGGGAATCCTAAGCCAACACTTAATGTCCTGCTTCTTCACTGCCTCAGAATCTGGCTGACAACCCAGGGTTGCCAAAAAGTTCCCAAGAGCCCCTGGGAAGTGAAAAGAACAAGATCCTCCCAGTTAGAATGGCCACGTAACCAGTCGCTCACTCCCTGAAGCACCAGGCACACAGTGTCAGCTAAGCAACCAGGCATAACCACCCACAACTGTTGGCTATGCCCAACCTCCTGCAACCAGTTCAGGGCCTGGGACCTGGTCACTAGTGTCTGGTCAGAGTGGGGTGGCCTGGGAGACCTGGAGCCAGGAGGAATATAAATAGCTCTCTGGCCTATCTCTCTTATTCTGCAATACCCACCCAGGCTTGGAGTCTATCTCCGTCCTTACAAAAGGAGGGAGGGACTCCTAGATTTCCGAGTTCTGCTGGGTGCAGAAAGGTTAATCTGAGTGGGCTGGGAGGTAGAAGGTGTGGGAAGGGTCCTCTCCTGGGAAGTGTGCACACACCCTCTGTTCAGTGGGCCAAGACCAGTCAGGGATTCCCCTCAGTCTGCTCAGACATGTGCAAAGGCACAGTCTGTCTAATCCTAAGGCCGACTCAAGGCCAGGGAGCTGGGGGAGAGGAGGAAGTGGGTGTGTTAGGGCAGTGCTGGGGCTATGAGAGGCCCACTCTCTTAGTCTAGCCTGGAGGGGACAAAGTCGGGTCTCATCTCTCCCCTCTGCTCCCCAGTGAACAGGAGAGACAGAGTCCCATTTAGTAGGAACTAGGCATCTGGCCTTTTCAGTCTTCCAGCCACTGAGCACATCTGCTCTGATAATGTGACACTGAGCCACTCAGGCCCGTAACCTGTCCCCTGAGCACTGAGCTAAGACCTTCGGGCTTCCTCAATGATTCAAGGGCCGACTTTGAGGCCTGGGGAATGGCGAGGTTACTTCTGGGAAGGGCTGTGCATTTTCTGGCCCAATTCCCTCCAGCCCTTCCAGTGGCTTCTGGGTGGGGTAGGAGGTGGAGATATTCTCTGGGAATCAAGCCTGATACAGGGTCTCTTTCTAGCCCTTCCCTACCCCGTTGCTGTCCCGTCCCATCTTCAAAGCCAGACAAGCCACTGGACGTTGAGAGAAGAAGCGGGGTTCACATTCCACCAAGAAAGGGGGCCCTATCACCGCGGCTGGAATCCTGACTCAGGGATGACCTCTGTGTCTTGGCTTGGGGACATTTCCCTGGTGCTTCGTACCCCAGCTCCGGCCGGAAGCAGGGTCCTAAGTCCTAACAGCCTCGCAACCTCTACCGCGAGTTTTGGGACGCTCTCTGTCTTGGCCTCTGTCTTCAAAGGCTATGGGGGGGTGGTGGAGGTGAGAGACCCAGGAGTGCCTCCCTAACGAGACGCCCACTCGGGAGCGAGAGGCAGGGCGTGTGGTGGGGAGCGGCCACGGTCGGGGTTCGGCCCCTAGCTTACCCTGGACACAGTCCCCAGGGCTCCGCTTCCTTATCTCTCCGGCCGAGCCTTCTCTTCCAGTCCGAGTGACCAGGTGACCGGCCCGGGCGCGTCCAGCCTGCACCCTCACCCCCTCGCCCCTACCGTCGTACCTGCAGCACGTTGGGATGCCGCAGCCGCTCCAGCAGCACCATCTCCTTGAGCAGCTTGTGGGCCGCCAGCCGGTAGCAGCCCCTCCGGGCCCCGAACTCGCGCACGCAGCTGCCCAGATCGTGGCCGCTGAAGTCCACCGCCTTGAGCGCCACGGCGGCGCCGCCGGGCAGGCGGACCCGGTACACGGCCTTGGTGTAGCCCGAGCCCACGTACTGAGCGCCGGACACGTTGCGGAGCGCGGCGCAGCCCAGGCGCGGGCCCGAGCCGGGGGAGCCGGGGGAGCCGGGGGAGCCCGGGCCGGGAGCCGGGGGCCAGCTCGGGGCGCCGTCGGGCGGGGGCCGGGCCCGCGGGGGCCGGGGGCGCTGCAGGCCCGGCCCGCCCGGGGCCAGGTCCATCAGGCGCCGCCGCTCCGGCCGGCCCGCCCCGGGGCCGGGGCCCCCGCGGGAATAGCGCTGCACCTCCTCGTAGCGCGCCCGGATCTGCCGGGCCAGTTCCCCGCGGCCCCCGCGACGGCCCGGGCCCGGGGCTGGCGACGGCCCGGGGGACTGGCCCGGCCGCGGAGGCTCCGACCCCGGTGCGAAGAGCACGTTGAGGACGGAGCCCAGCAGGAAGGAGGCGCAGAAGCCCGCGGCCACCGCCGCCCGCCGGCGCCGCATCGCTCCCCTCCCCTCCCCTCCCCTCCCCCGCCGGCCCCGCGCGGCTCCGCGGCCCCGGCCCGGGAGGCTCAGGCTCCGAGGCGGCTCCGCTCTGCGCCGCGCCCGCCCCCTGCCCAGTCCGCGCGCATGGCCCCGGCCGCCCCGACCCCGGCCCCGGCCCCGGCCCCTCGCGGGCCGCGCATCGGCCTGACACTTGCCTCCCTCCCGCCCTGCCCCCGCCGCTTATAAGGCCGGAGCCGCCCCCGCCCCCGCCCCCGCCGCCGCCGCCGCCTCCGCCTCCGCCTCCGCCTCCGCCTCCCGGCTCCCGGCCCGAGCCCGTCCCCGGCGCCGCCCCCTCCGGCCGCCCGGCCCGGCCTTCCCCGCTGACTGACAGCGGGACCTCCTCCCGCGGCCGTCCGGGCCTGGGAAGCGGCGCGGAGGCGGCTCCGGCCCTGCCCAGCCCGCGGGCCCCCGAGCTCGGGCCGCGGGGCGGGGGGGGGGGCGGGGGGGGCGGGAGCTGCGGGCTCGGCGCGGGGGCGGCTAACGGGGCCGCGGCCGCCGGATAACGGGACCCGGAGGCGGATAGCGGAGCCGGCCGGGCGGGGTGGGGGAAGGTGGAGGGGGTGAGGCCGGCGGGCCGCGCGCCCTCAGACCGAGATCCCTCCGGGGGCCACGGCCTCCCTCGGGTGGGGCTGGGATGGAGGCTCCTCGGGGCAAAGCTGGGGGGGGTGGGGCTGGGGAAGTGGGTGTAGGGAGGCTGACACCTGTGAGCCTGCGTGGGTCGGGAACTCTGGGATCAGGGGAACAATCGTGAGGTTTTAAAGGCTGCCCTATTCAGCCTCAACCACCAAGTCTTTCTGGTTCCTCATGTTCCTCGTCCCTGAAGCCCCAGATAGAACTCCTCTCCCCGGGGTCGCTGCAGGCAGCAGCGCAGCGTGAGCCACAGGCACGCCGCTGGGCTGCGCGAAGGCTGCATTGGTATCCGCGGACGTGCGTGCTCCAGGCTGTCTGTGCAGTGTGTGCGCATCGGTGTGTCTGGAGGGGCCTCTGTGTGGGAGGAAGGGAGTGTGTACCCTGTGTGTAAGTTGGTGCTGACTCCGCCAGAACTTCTGGTCCCTCCTCCTCCCTCCCTGATTGCATCATTAGTGCTAATTGAGGGGCTTTCACACGCCAGTGCATTAGCTGTTTGGAGTGAGCTCCCCCCTCCTGGGAGAGATAAGCTCTGCCCCTCCCCATCCCGGCCCTCCACTTCCCCGCAGCCCTGGAACTGTCCACCCAGAACCTCTCCCCTTCCTGGGCACCTTCCTGCCTCCCTCTGGTTCTGGACTAAGTAATCCCTCTCCTCCCTGCAGTGTCAGAGATTGGCTGGAGAGGAGTCAGGGAGGTGTCAGAAGGACCCCTCTCTGAGGGGTGTCAGGGAGGGGAGGTTATCCTTGGTGGAGTGGGGGCCTGGAGAGCTCTGGCATTCCTACAGAATACAGAGTCACTGTGATGAGAGAGGGGACAGGAATCTCTGCCTGGTTCTTTTGGACATGGAAGGACAGAGGAGAGGACTGAATCTTTGATATCCAGCCTCCTATCCCACTGAGGTAGGGGCATCCATCGCTGACTCTTGGGGTTCCCTAAGACGGGAGAGTTGAGGCCCAGTCGAGCTTAGCAAGCACCGGAAAGACAGAATAAGAAAAGCCACGGTTCTCCTGAGAACCTTGGGTTTGGTGGGTTCGGTCTGGTCCTGCCTGTCGCTCTGCCCTGTGCTGGCCCACCTCTGCTGGGTGTGGGGGGAATGGTCTGAGCAGATGCCCTCCCCAGCCCTCACACCAGATGTCTTTGTTCTAATTAACTGTGCTGGGAAAACCAACCTGGGTTTGTAAACAGAGCTACTGGCTAAAGTCAACAGGGAGCAGCAGCAAACAGCAAACATTCTCCTCACACAGCCTCCATCCAACCCAGCCCCTGGGGAAGAAGGGAGGCTTGCAGATCATGAGGCCCCCTAGCCCACTGCTGAGTCAGGGAAAGCCTGTCTGCCTCTGTGACCCCGATATGGCTGTTCCCTTCCCAGTTCCAGGGGCTCGGCTCCTCTCTCCTGGTGAGGACTGGGGATTCTGGGAGGAACAGAGTTGCCACCCAAGGTAGGCTCTGCCTTTCTTCCAGCAATCTTCTCATATCTCCCCAGCCAAACCTCTGCATCCAGGAGGAAGCCATGGAGTAGGGGGGTGGGGTGGGGGGTGGATATTCCTTCAAGAGCTTTCCTTGGGGCCTGCTCTGCTCTACGGTCTCAGAGAAGCCTCTGAGCTAGGATTTGGCATTGTGAGTCTGTAACTTAGAGTTGGTGAATATAACGCGAACATTGTTAAGTGTGTTACACATCAAGTAGGTATTATAATAACATGTTCTGAAATTAGATAATTATTCCTATGATATCTTTGCCAAGCTTCAGTGTTTCTATTATGGTTTGAAAGTTCAGTGCACACAGGGGCCTGAGAAATAGGCACAAATGTACATACAACGCACATGTATAAGCCCACCAAGCAGGAGCTTCACACACACGGGAACAAAGGCATTTCAGCTCTCTCCTCACACCCACTCTGTCTCCCTCGTCAGTTTTCAGACACACAGACATATACAATCTTTGATGGAAATAGGTTTTTGGCCTCTGAGAAAAAGGGATTGCACTTTTGGACAGATTAGAGTTTCTGAATTGGCAGTTCTTGAGTTCTTAACCAAATTCTGCTTGTTTGCTTTTTTCTCTTTTTTTTTCCTGCCACCCAGGGAGAAGAATCATCATTTCAAAGAATTGAAAAAGACACAAAATACTGCTTCAAGCTTGAAGATCTATAGCCTGCCCACCCGAAGCCGCTGTGGCAGGGTCCCTGGAGACCCCGCAGGGCCAGTCCCTTCTCAGGCCAGTGTCCAGCTCTGAGCACTGAGTGCCACCTTCACAAGAGAGTCTTCCTCCAACTGTCACTCAAGGCCACAGCAGTCCTCAGATCAGAATATCTGCTAGTGTGAAGGCTCAGTGCTGCAGACACACCACATCTTCCTGCTCCTCCCTGTGCCTGCCACATCCCTACCCAACCCGAAGGCTAACTGGGTTAGCAATCCTTGGGAAGGAAGCAGATGGTTTGGACCCCAAGATGCTAGATTTCTCTGGAAATGTCTTTTAGGTACCTCCTTTCTGCATGTTTTTGTCAGGTGGTCCCAGGCTGCCAGGATTGTGATACCGGCCTCTCAGCCTCAGCTCCCTTTTCCCTCCAGCCCAGGTCTTAAACACCTCTTTTGGAGTGGTATGCTCCTGCTAGAAAACTTGGGGGATAAACTGAACTGGACCCTTGGGCCTCCATGTACTGCCCCTGCATGGAGCCAGACCTCCCCAGCTCAGTGCCCTGCTGTGTGTCCGGACTTGCAGTCATCACCTGTGTTTTCCCAGGTTGCCCCATGCCCCCCCAGCTCCTCCTTCCAGAAGTACTCTCATCTAGCCTCACCGTGTGGTCTTTGCTATCTGGTTCTTCTAGGTCTCTCAGAAAGTAGCAGGTTACACACAACCCTCCTCCAATGGAAGGTACGTGGGTCCCTGGGAGCTTGAAGGTATATTTTCAGAATTCTGTGGATTGATTGCCTTTAAAAGGAAATGTACGAAATATATTTGTCTGGTTTTGGAAACCTTGAGGTAGAGTCAAGAGTATGGGGCTTAAGAGTCAGAGAAACCGGGGTTCAAATCCCATTGGCTGAGTTACTTTGTGCAAGGTAGTTAACCTCTGTGTGTTGAGTTTCCTCATTAAGAAAATGGGAGAAATTAATAGTACCTACCACATGAAGTTGTTGAGTGATAGTATGCAAAGACATGTAAAGTGCTCAGCACAGCATAAGCCCTTAAAATTATGTGATCTATTGCTAGTATTCACAGTAATATCAAACAAATAAACATTTGTAAGACAGCTTGGTTGGCTGTAACTCTGCCCAGAGGCAGAAATGACTTGACTTCCATCCTGGTTCCCACTGGTGAAATCTCTCAGTCTCCCAGACTTTCATTGAGCCTGGAATGTTCACTTTTTTCCAAATCAGCAAACCAGCGGTCGGTTGATCAGAAGAAGCCTCCCTGCCTCCCCAACCTCACAGTGAGCTGTGGAGGGAGGACCATGAATCAGGGCCTGACTGATGTCAAAGTGAGTTGAGAGCAGGAGAGGCCTCAGATCTGTCCTCCCTGGGGCAAGAAGCTGGGGGGGAGGATGGATCCAGAAGAGGAGGGGGGAAGGAAAGGGGTGGAGTCAGGCGGCCAGCTCTCCCACCCCCACTTCCCTCAGGTAGGAAGTGAAGCTGACGTTTCCAAAATATAAAAAACAGATGATGAAGGTCAGGTTTCCTACACACTGGAGAGCGGGAGCCCCAAGGCAGAGTCCCCAAGAAATGATGTGAGACAGAGATGGGGGCAGAGGGAGAAAGAGAAGCGACAAGATAGAAAACGATGCAGAGACAGGGAGGCAGAAACAAAAGCCCTGAGTCCTGAGAAAGATAGACAAAGAAAAAGCTGTGACTCAGGGGAGAGCTTTCTACTAATTTCTGGAAAAGAGCTTAATTCCTCTGTGTGGGTCGCAAGATGCAAACATGAGCCATTATGATTCCATGGCCCTGTCAGTGGGTGAGGGCCTCTAGGACCCTACCAACCAAAAGGCTTTGTAGGCTCTCCGAGTTCTCACTGCCCAGGCTGATCTCTCTGTGTTTGGGCCTCTGGATCTGTGGTCCTGAGTGTCCCTCTAGTCTCCCTCCCTGGGCAGGGTTCTTTCTCCATCCACCTGCCAGCTCAGTCTCACCCACCAGCCCAGAGAGATGCTCTATGATGGCTTCTTTTTCCCTTTCCTGGTTGGCTGTGTCCTCCTCCTATGCTGCTTCCTTTGATTGGAGGAACGGGGGTAGGAGAGGGGGAAGACTGAGAAGGCTGTTTAGAGCCATTACCTGGGGGGAAGGAGCAAGGGGAAGGCCTTGGTATTGGACCCAGCCCAGAACTAAGACTCTATGAGAGCTGAACCCCAGAGCCTCTGTTCCTGGGGCAGATGGAGAGGCTAGCAGATGAACGGAGAATTGGCCATTGGATCACTGGATGATGGATGGAGTCTGGTAGCAGGGAGTGGTGAAGGCCTTTGTCATTGCACAGGAGAGGAATGGGAATGGAGCATAGGGGCTGGGTGATTGGATCTAACACATTACCCCTTCTTTGACCAAGCCAAATGCACCCTGAGGGTATATGGGACAACTTTCCTTCTAGGTTGTTGTCAAATAGAAAGAACCTAGAACTTTCTTTTTAGGTTGTTGTCAAATAGGTTGTTGGTTGTTTTTTTCAAGCAACTTCAGGGCTGTGGTTTGGAAAGTGGAGAGAAAAGAGGAAGAAAGAGAGGCTGTTGAGTTGTACATCTGGTTCTGGACCTCGAGAGGGCTGACAGTTCTCTCCCTCTCCCTCCCAGGCGGCTGGCCTACGTCAAGGCCCAGGAGGAAGACTGTTCCTTACCATTAAGGAGACCTTGGCCCTGCTTGTGCCCTTAGGAGCTTAGGGTGTTAATTGGGAAGACTCACTCCAAACCATCAGAGACTCATACAAATGAAGGTCTGGGGTGGACCTGCAGGAAGGAACTGGATGGAGAACTATCTTGTACTGAAAGCCTGCTGTGCGCCAGTCACTGTCTAGCCTCTTGACGCACACTGTGAGGTCAGTATTATCGCACCTGTTTTATACAGGAGGGAATTGGGGCTCATGAGATTAAGGAATCTGTCAAATGTCACACACATCTTTAAGTGACAGAGCAGACCACCATGAAATGAGCAAGCAGTGGCTGGGGCCCTGATTTAGGTTTTCCTCTCCACTCTTTGTTGGTTTGGGAAAAGAAAATTTCAGTCTGTGTGGAGATGGGAGAGAGGCAAATAAATGCCACCAGTGGGAACCAAGATGGAAGTGTATTAAGGTTATCTCTGTCTCCAGGCAACAGAGTTTGGTCATAAAGTTTTATTATTTTATAGTTCAAATTAATACTAATGATAGAGCATGCTTATTAAATGCCTTTCATCATGGTTTGATCCACTTAATGCCTCTAGGAAATAAATACTATCATTATCTCCAATTTTCAAGATGAAAAGATTGACATCCTGAGAGGTTAGGTACCTGGTGGCAGAGATGGGATTTGGACTCAGATGCCTGTGCTGGCAGAGCTTGTGTTCTTCCAGGTTCTGTCCTGCTGCCTGTAGTTTAGTTCATGGGCTGGGCTGGGCTGGGTTGATCTCAGCTGTAAAAATCCTGAGGTCAGTCTTTCCAAGCCTGGCATTGCCATCTGATGCGGAAGATGGCTGTCTGAGGATATTTGAGCCTTTAAAAGACAGAGGTAGGCTCTGCTGGGGCGAGGGGTGGGAGGGCACAGTGAGGAAAGAAGGACGGAGATGCAGAAAGAGGTAATAGAAGAGCCCTTCCCGCTCATCCATAGGGAAACCCACAGACTCAGGAGTAGAGGCTAAACCTCTACGATGTGTTTTTCAGAGACCCCAGCAGGCCCTGTGAATCATTCCGTCCTTCCCCTTCCCCACAGGGGAGAAGGAACAAATCACAAGTGATGTTTTTACAAAGGGTTAACGAGACTCTGGGAGTCTGTATGGAATTAAAATAATTATTTGAAAAATCTCAAAAAGCACAAAAAAGGAAGTAAGAATTATACAAAATCCCTCCATTAAAGGAGATTATATATCATAAGATGTGAAAGCCACCTTGCCTGCACCTCCAACCCCACTTGGAGAGGTAACATCCTATGAAGGATGTAGTGAGTAAAAGCTCCCTAAGATGCTCCATGCAATCATCATCTCCCCCACTCCCATCGGCTTCCCCTGGTGACTGACTCAGTTCTGTACCAGCAGGCTCCAAGACGCCTCGCAGTCTCTCTGCCGCTTCTAAACTCAAATTCAAGTCCTGTGCTTAAAAAAAAAATGTCTTTTGGATTTGCTCCTTTATTTCCTCATTGCCATCCAGGCTCTTCCTCTCACATCTGTTCTGTTGATTGGGTCCCCTCGAAGTTCCCCTCCCACCTTGAAGCATGTATGGGCACCAGATTCATTCTGCTAAGAACACTGCTTCCAACACATCATTTTCCTGTTCTAAAATCTTTGATGACTCTCCGTCATTTGGAGGGTAATTGAACTTGGCATTTCAAGTCAGTTGCAACCGACTTTTTCTATTCTGGTATCCACAAATACTTCCTGACTCTGTGCTGCAGCCTGGCTGGTTGCTTCACAATCTTAGAGGACATCCTGCAGCTCCTGCCTGACAACACCCTTTCCCAAGCTTGCCCATCCTTCAAGGCCTATCTCAAGGCTTTCTTTTTTTTTTACAGCAAGCCTTCCCTGATTGTTTTAGTTCACATTTATTGCTCCTTCCCCAAATGCCTGAACACAAGGAAGCTATACCTTGTGGTTCGGAGAACCCTGGTTGAGAGAGACCTTGAGTATGACCATAGAATAGGACTTCCCAGCCTGGAGCCAGGAGATCTCTCAGAGTCTATAAATGTATTGGGGAGGGGGAAGCTATTGTCAATATTTCAGAAAGCCTTTTGAAACTATTTCCTGATAAGTTTGCCCAGTCATAGGAAACATTGACTTTCCTTGCTTGTGGCCAGAATTATATCATGCATTGGGTTTCTTGTCCTGCTGAATGACATTGGTTGTTTATTAAGAACAATGGGGGAGGGATGCCTGGGTGGCTCAGTGGTTGAGTGTCTGCCTTTGGCTCAGAGCATGATCCCACGGTCCTGGGATCAAGTGCCATGCCACATCAGGCTTCCCATGGGGAGCCTGCTTCTCCCTCTGCCTGTGTCTCTGCCTCTCTCTCAGTGTCTCTCATCAATAACTAAAATCTTAAAGAAAAATGGGGGGATATTATGTAAATGTATTGGTAGGTAGACTCTAAAAATCTGGAGTTTGTGGGACAGCAGGATGAAAAAAAGGAATGTTGATGGTGAAAAAGTTGAAGTCATTGATGTTGCCCAGGGTCCTGACCAAAGGAGGACCTTTCCCTGTTGTTCAAATAGCCAACCACTCCCCACTTCTCGTGAAAGACAAGCTCACTTTCTTACAGGTGGCCAAGACATTATTTGATTGCAGTAAATCTAAACTGTCTTCCTCAGGACAGCCCTTCGAGTATGTGAAGATAACTTAGAACCTCCACTGGCTTCTTTCTGGTTTCCTGTAGGCCAAAGACAAACTTTCTTCTGTGTTGTCTGAGACCCCAAATGCTAGAGCCTTGTCCATTCTGCCTATCTCTGCTCAAGACTCACTTATCCTCTTCTGCTTTTCATATGTACCTTGCTATCTCCTTTCACTTACTGTTCCCTCTGTTTGAAACACTCTTGTCTGGTTGTGATTTCTCTCATTTGTGTCATCTGGTTGAAGTCTGTCTCTTCTGGACTATACAGTCCATGAAAGTGGGGCTTTGTTTGATTTCTGCTCCCAGGATGTCCCCATCACCAAGCACAGTGCCAGGGCCTATGGCAGTTCATTAAATATTGACTAAGAGTGTTATTTTCTATTTCATGA